GCCCTTGCCGCCGCTGGTACGCCCTACTGGGGTGGCCGGCTTCCCCAGGGGGCAATTTAAGCAGGGCTAGAGCCCCAGGCCTTTTAAATTGCCACCAGAGCCCCACTGCTGGAACCCTGGGGTAGGGCTGTGGGGCTCTGGGGGCTATTTAAAAAGTCCGGGGCTCCCATTGCTTCTACCGCCCCGGCCCTTTAAATAGCTGCTGGGGCCCCGCCGCTTCCCCAGGGCTCCTTAGGCTATTTAAAGGGCTGGGGCGGTAGAAGCAGGGGAGCCCCTGCCCTGCCCGCACCAGCCCCGCACCCCCTGCCCTGCCCACAGCCAGCCCCTGTCTCCAGCCAGCCCCGCACAGCCTGCCTGCAGCCAGCCCTTGCTGCACCCCCAGCCCTGCCCGCAGCCAGCCCCTGCTGCACCCCTTGCCCTGCCTCCAGCCCCGCACCCCCTGCCCTACCCTCACCAGCCCCTGTCTCCAGCCAGTCCCACATCCCCTGTCCTGTCTGCAGCCAACCCCACACCCCCTGCCTGCAGCCAGCCCGTCTCCAGCCAGCCCCGCACCCCTTGCCCTGCCTCCAGCCAGACCCTACCTCCAGTCAGCCGCTGCCCTGCCCCTGCCCTGCCTGCAGCCAGCTCCTGTCTCCAGCCAGCCCCACACCCCCTGCCCACAGCCAGCCCCTGCTGCACCCCCTGCCTTACCGCACCAGCCCCTGTCTCCAGCCAGCCCCACACCCCCTGTCCTGTCTGCAGCCAGCCCCGCACCCCGGCCCTGCAGCCAGCCCGTCTCCAGCCAGACCCACACCCCTTGCCCTTCCTCCAGCCCGCAATGTACGTAATATATAATTTTGATTTTATTTATATAGTTATGGAAAGTAAATAATACATGGAAGAAATGAAAGGGTTTTTTTTACGTCTTTTTTTTTAGTCATCCCTGCCAGGGCCCTGCCGAAAATGTTTGAATTGGGCCCCGCACTTCCTAAAGCCGGCCCTGATGACCATCCCCATGTACAACAGGGGTAGCAGACAATTCTGTCTGTCCAAGTTTAATTTCCCCAGCAGTGCCTAGTTACAAGGCAAATATCCACATGTGACCCCCTCCCTTCCTGTGCACACAAACACACTGCTCCCAGCTTACATTGAATTTATTAAAAAAGAAAGAGAAAAAACAACGAGGAGTCCTTGTGGCACCTTAGAGACTAACACATTTATTTGGGCATAATTTTTGTGATTCTAGACCACTAAAGCTTATGCCCAAATAAATTTGTTACTCTGTAAGGTACCACAAGGACTCCTCATTGTTTTTCGCTGATACAGACTGCCACTCTAAAAAAAGAGACAAACTCATGATCTTTGGGGCTCTGATTCCTGATTGTTAAGGGGTTGCCCAGGTTGCCCTGGGTCTTGGTCTGATTTCTGTGCAGGATTCAGATCTCAGCCACACCGGAGTCAGACCAGAGTCACTCCGGGCTCTGGCAGTGGGGGAGTGTGGATGGGCCAATGGGATCAGCCTCTGCCTGCCTGTCCCTGGGGGCTGCCGAGGGAGTCCAGGGCAGCTCATTCTTCAGGTGTTGCCATCTGAGGGCTCTGGTTGTTGCTAGGGGGGAGGGGTTTACACTGCAATGGGGGGCAATCCCCCAAAGTGATTCTGCTCTTTTTTTAATATTTGGCTCAGAGATGCTGTTACTGGGAGGGTTTGAAGAGGCTGGGGGGAATCGGGGTGTGACATGGACTCCAGCCCCTTCTGTAACTTCCCCCATCGCCCCTCTTTCCCCGAAAGGCTGAGGAATCACGTCCACATTTCGCTCCACATGGGCCCGTCTTCCAGGAGACAGGGAAGGGAAATAACTGTGATGGAGGCAGCTCAGGTAAGCGATTTTCAGGAACTGCTTGACGGCGGGAGGGAGAAGCAGGGAGGACCATTGGCAGCAGTGGGGCAGAAGGACATTCGCCCAATTCAAAAACAGGACACACACACCCTGCACAGGGCTAGAGCCTGAACCCACTGGCCAGAGGGCCTGAGGCTGCTGTGAAATATGAAGGGAAGCTGTTGGGATTCCTGTTCTTGTCCCTGGCTCAGAGCTCTGCTTTCCATATCAGCCTGTGGCTGGCAGGTGTGTGGGAAATGAGAAGACCCTGCCATGCTCTGTGTGCTGGGGTGGACAAGGAGCTCTCACCTTCTCCCCACCCCCTGAAGCCACCTGGCTGCTCTGAACAGTAGGGGTCTGAGTTTGCTACTCTGGCCCTCCCAGAGCTTTTTTTCTTTCCCTCTGAATAGCGGGATTGTGGCTGGGGCAGCAGGTGCTGAGTGGGGGACTCTTTTTATTTCAGATGCCGGTGACCTTCGAGGAGGTGGCTGTGTATTTCACCCAGGGGCAGGGGGCTCTGCTGGACCCTGCTCAGAGAGCCCTCTACAGGGACGTCATGCAGGAGAACTACGAGACAGTGACCTCACTGGGTAAGGGATTCCCGTCCCCTCAGTTATTAGAAGCCGAGGGTCAGTGTGTCAGACTGTGGTCAGGTTCTTCCCTGGTCAGTTAGATCAGAGGGGAATGTTTTACATAATACACAGCTGCCGTGAGAGAGACTTGCATCTCCATGCCTTCTCCAATGAGATACAGGTGTCAAAACCTAATGGACATGCTAGCTCATCCCATCCATCCAGCTTTCAAAGGGACAGAATTCATTCATTGTCCTGTCTGTATTGATTCCCAGTCAGACACATTTCATAGTAGCAGCCGTGTTAGTCTGTATCCGCAAAAAGAACAAGTCTGACACAGAATCCCTGTTCACCTCCCTTCTTGCAAATAGCTCCAGCCATGGCGAGGGCTCTGGGCTCGGCAGGTTTAGAAATAGACAGAGGTTTAACGCCAGAGCTGGGTGTGTGTCAGCAAGTCTCCCAGAGAGCACAGATCCTGGGAACTCCTAGTGAGGGTGTAAAAATTCCCGTCACCTCCCCAGACGCCTGCCTATCCCGAGGCGGCTCAGTGACCGTGTTTCTGTCCTCTTAGGTTCCGTATTCCCACCAACACAGCACGGGGACAGGTTCCGTTCCCACAATGCCCTTTGTGACAGACACTCCCCCAATGCTCCATGCGCCCTGTGCGAAGAGTTCAGTCACAGAGACCCCCTTGGGACTGTAACCTGATGTGCTGAAATGACCACTGAGCCTGTTCTCCCTGCCAGGTTGGGCCCCCAGTACCCTCTCTTGTTGAACCAGACACGCTAACCTGCTGCAGCACAGATTCAGGGTCCGGGCTACGCCCCCAAGCTGCACAACTTAACTGAAAAAACAGCACAACAAATTACCTATCTCCAGCACTCAGGTACCCAGCCCCAATGGGATCTAAACCCCAGATAAATCCGACGTACTCTGTATAAAGGTTATACAGGGTAACTTCCTAAGTGTTCGCCCTCTTTATCATTAAAAGAGAGAAATGAACAAACTGTTTGCTCCCCCAGTAACAACTACTTACACTGGCTTTATTAATACGCAAAAGAGATTTTATTAAGTATAAAAGTGGTGGTTTTAAGTAATAACAGACAGAACAAAGAAAGTCACTAAGCAAAATAAAACAAACATGCAAGGCTAATCTTAATGCACTAAGAAACTGGTTACAAATAATAGTTTCTCACCCTCACAAAAGTTTCAGTAACCTTCTTTCACAGACTAGACTTATATCTAATCTGGGTCCAATCCTTTCTGCTGTTCAGTATCCATTAGTTCCAGGAGACATTTTGGGTGATAAGCAGGGGTCTCCTCACCACGACTGGCAGCCCCCTTATATAGATTTGGCAAAAGGCGGGAGTCCTTTGTTCCAGCTTGACCCCCTCCCAGTTCCTTATGGAAAAGTCCACGGTTTAAAATGGATTCCAGTATCAGGTGACATGGTCCCATGCTTCTGTAAGACCCCAGTCTCCATTTTTCATGGGCTGATCCTCACCTACACAGGAAGACTTACAGGTAAAAAAAAATATTCCCATTGTTCTGGTTAAATGCAGCAATCAAGTTCTTAAAGAATCATTAATGACCCTCACTTAGCATAATCACAATGGGACCTTAGATTTGTACTTCATATTCCTAACTGTAACTATAAGAATGATACATACATACGAATAGGAAAACCATATTCAGTAGATTACAACTTTTCCAATGATCCCTTACATGGGACCTTTTGCATAAAGCATGTTCCAGTTATGTCATATTCATATGGATAAGCATATTTTCAGAAAGCATATGGAGCATCCCGTAACACCCTGAACTGGTCTGATTTCACCCCTGCGCAGGATTTCCCATTCCCAAACCTGAGCTGATCGCCCAGCTGGAACGAGGGGAAGAGCCCTGGGTGCCTGATCTCCAGGCCTGCGAAGAAAGGGAGATCCCGAGAGGCACCCGCACAGGTGAGGGCTGACACAGAAACCATCTGGGGAATGACGGAAAAAGTTCAGAATCCCAAAAATATGGTGTGAGTAACACCCTCAGTTCTTCCTCCTCTCACCCAGGGCAGGGCTGCAGTCAGCAGATATCGCTCACACCTTTCCACCCACCCTGTTAGCTGCAGGAGTTTCCTTTCCAGGTTTCCTTCCCTGTGAGTGTTTGGGTGGAATGTGGAGGCAGAATCCAATTGCTCCGTCTTTGTGTTGGGTTTTCCCTCGGTGCTATTCCTCTTTCTCCCCAGCACAATGACTCCTGTCTGGATTGTGTCTCTCCCAGCAGGTGATGAGAGAGTGAGTGAGAATGAAGAGGAGAATCATGAGGCAGAAGTTCCTGGTAAAGTGGAACCACGGGAGACCTTTATGGGAAGTGCTGCATGGAATTTTTCCCAGTGCTTGGAGCAGGGAGAAGCCTGGGAAAATTGGCAGAGGTCAGAGAGGCTGCTGGGAAACCACCCAGGAAAGAAAGCGGATGAATATATTAACAGTGGGAGAGGAGACAAGGATCCCAGAGCGCAGCAGACAAACCCCAATGAAGAGACACCCAGGGACTGCCTGCAGTGTGGGAAAAGATTCATTCTGAGCTCACAGCTTGTAACACATCAGACAATCCATACAGGAGAGAAACCCCTTCAATGCTTCGACCGTGGGGAAAGCTTCAATAATCCCTTAGACCTTAATAACCATGGGAGACGCCACACAGAAGAGAAACCCTCTCAATGCCTTCAGTGTGGGAAATGTTTCATTTGGAAGTCAAAACTAATTACTCATCAGAGAATCCACACAAGGGAGAGACCCCAAAAGTGTTTAGTCTGTGGAAAAAGTTTCATACAGAGGTCATCCCTTGTTAAACATCAGGCAATCCACACAGGAGAGAGACCCCATAAGTGTTTGGACTGTGGGAAAGGTTTCATACAGAGGTCAGATCTTAGAGCACATCAGAGGATGCACACAGGAGAGAAACCTCATAAGTGTTTTGAGTGTGGAAAAGGTTTCACACGGAGATCACATCTTATAGGACATCAGAGAATCCACACTGGAGAGAGACCCCATACGTGCTTGGACTGTGGTAAAAGTTTCATGCAGAGGTCATCCCTTGTTAAACATCAGGTAACCCACACAGGAGAGAGACCCCATAAGTGTTTAGTCTGTGGAAAAAGTTTCATACGGAGGTCAGAACTTGTTAAACACCAGAGATTCCACACAGGAGAGAGACCCCACAAGTGCATGGACTGTGGGAAAAGTTTCATACAGAGATCAGACCTTGATAAACATCAGGCAATCCACACAGGAGAGAGACCCCATAAGTGTTTGGAATGTGGAAAATGTTTCACACACAGATCACATCTTATAGCACATCAGAGGATCCACAGTGGAGAGAGACCACATAAGTGCTTGGAATGTGGAAAATGTTTCACACGGAGATCACATCTTATAGGACATCAGAGAATCCACACTGGAGAGAGACCCCATAAGTGCTTGGACTGTGGTAAAAGTTTCATGCAGAGGTCAGACCTTGATAAACATCAGGCAATCCACACAGGAGAGAGACCCCATAAGTGTTTAGTCTGTGGAAAAAGTTTCATACGGAGGTCAGACCTTGATAAACATCAGGCAATCCACACAGGAGAGAGACCCCATAAGTGCATGGACTGTGGGAAAAGTTTCATACAGAGATCAGACCTTGATAAACATCAGGCAATCCACACAGGAGAGAGACCCCATAAGTGTTTGGAATGTGGAAAATGTTTCACACACAGATCACATCTTCTAGCACATCAGAGGATCCACACTGGAGAGAGACCACATAAGTGCTTGGAATGTGGAAAATGTTTCACACGGCGATCACATCTTTTAGGACATCAGAGAATCCACACTGGAGAGAGACCCCATAAGTGCTTGGACTGTGGGAAAAGTTACACACAGAGATCACACCTCACTCAACATGGGAGAATCCACACAGGATCGAAACTTCTGTGACTCATGGCCAGAAACGGTTAAGCATCTTGCAGGCTAATTGACCTAGATTCAGCCTTTAGACACATGTTAGAAATGTGTGTAAATAGAAATTAGGTCCATTCCAGATTAGATAAGCTAGAGCTCTGAAATGTAAACTTTTATGGTTAAAGAACTGGAAGAAGCTAGCAATTGTAATAGCCTGTGTTTACTTCTTGTTAGAGGTTAACAGTGTAACCAAAGGGTTCCTGTCTAGGGTTGTATTTTGTTCAATCTGAGAAGGAAAGGAAATATTAACATATAGATAAAACTTGGGTTTAATAATGTCATTGTCTACATGTCTCTGTAAAATTTGTGGTAAACTTTTAATTGCTTTATGGATATTTATCTTATTTTAATCCATTTAATTAATTACCAGTGATGTTTAGGAAATAGGTTACTTGAAAAGCCTATTGTTCACCTGATGAAGTGATTCTGAAACAGACGCTTTGCAATTTTCATGCACCATCTCTAAGTAAAACTGACCTAAGGATTCTATTCAGCTTTGCATGATCTTTTAAACCACACACTCTCTCTTTTCTTGTTGTGAGAAATCTTAGTTTACTTAATAAGAACTGGCTGTAAGCGTGTATTTCGGTCAGAACTAAAGAAATCATTAACTTGCTGGGTGATTTTTCTGATCCTTCGGGATTGATAGAACATTTTATGTGATGAAGAAGATTTTCAGTAATCCCCATCATGTTTAACTGGGCTGTCTGGGAGTGAGCCCAAGGCCTGGTTGCTTTAAGGGAGCTGTTCTTTGCCGCTGTGTAGCCAATAAGGTATTGTAGAGTAAACCCCAGGAATAATGAGGGGCAGAGGGGATAAAAAAGGATAGCTGTTTTGTTGGTGGCTTGGTGAATGTAAGTATTGAAATAGCCACTAGTTTTGAGGATTGTCGGCCCATTCTTTGCAGTTTGCCCTAACTGAGCAATCTCTGTGTGCCCCACCACCCCGCGACTCTGGTCACAACTTCATAAATGCCTTGCCTGTGGGTAAAGTTTCCTTCAGCTTACCGCACCTCATTAAACATCAGAGAATCCACAAAGGTGTGATAGACACTAGGAATAGTGGAGCTGGGTGCTGGGGCTTGTCACACAGTGTGTGGGATACAGGGCCCTGGACCCACCACTTCCTGCGATTCATCGTGATGCTCAGTCAGGCAGTAAAACAGAAGGTTTATTGGACGATAGGAACACAGTCAAAAACAGAGCTTGTAGGTACAACCAGGACACCTCAACCAAGTCTTTCTGGGAGGTAGGGAGCTTAGGCCCCAGTCCTGGGGTTCCCTCAATTTCCCCAGCCAGCTCCAAAACTGAAACCCCCTCCAGCGGTCTTTCCCAGCCTCCCCCCAGCTCCTCCTCCACCCTTTGTCCAGTTTTCTAGGCAGGTGTCACCTGGCCCCAACCCCCCTCCTGGGCTCTCATGTTACATGCTCAAGTATCTTCCCTCAAGGAAAGTCTCCCATCCCACACACAGTCCCAGTAAAACTCCCCTGAAACATTCCCAGGTCAATACTCCCCTCCCCCTGCTGCGTCACAAGGCTATTGAGTATTTGGGGATCATGGGATATGAGGCGAGGGAGAGCACTGGGGTAGAGAGGTGCTGCCTCTCCTCACTCTCCCTGTCTGCCCCTTCTCCCAGCCCCCTCTGCATTCAGACAGCACCACTGAGAGGGGTTGGCTCAGAGCCAGGAGGCTGTAGATCTACTTGTGGGATTGGGTGGGCTTAAATGACAGACACAAATAAGGGGAACCTGATGAAAGAAATTTGGATGAGTGGAAAGCAGTGGATTTGTTATTCCTTGACTTTAGCAAAGCTTTTGATACGGTCTCCCACAGTATTCTTGCCGCCAAGTTAAAGAAGTATGGGCTGGATGAATGGACTGTAAGGTGGATAGAAAGCTGGCTAGATTGTCGGGCTCAACGGGTAGTGATCAATGGCTCCATGTCTAGTTGGCAGCCGGTTTCAAGCGGAGCGCCCCAAGGGTCATTCCTGGGGCCAGTTTTGTTTAATATCTTTATTAATGATCTGGAGGATGGTGTGGACTGCACTCTCAGCAAGTTTGCAGATGACACTAAACTAGGAGGCGTGGTAGATACACTAGAGGGTAGGTATGGGATACAGAGGGACCTAGACAAATTAGAGGATTGGGCCAAAAAAAACCTGATGAGGTTCAACAAGGACAAGTGCAGAGTCCTGCACTTAGGACGGAAGAATCCCATGCACTGCTACAGACTAGGGACCAAATGGCTAGGTAGCAGTTCTGCAGAAAAGGACCACTCTGGACTGGGAGCTCCTCCTGTCTGCTGTGCGTTTGAAGTCAGGGGATCACTCCCCACCTGGGTACCGGTCTCCAGTGAGCTGGGGTGACGGCACAGGGGGAATCTGTGGGTGCTGCAGCCTCTGTGGGTCTGGAGCTGCTGGCAGCTGCTTGTGTCTGAACAGGCCTTCAGGTTCCTAACTCTGAATGGTTTCTTAAAGAGACAGTGCGCTCCCACACTCACTCAGCCACACACACACCTCCCCCCCCCCAAAAAAAAAACATAACACCAGGGCTCCCTGCACCCAGGTTACTTCCCACCTGGGCTGTCTATGAGGCAACAGCAGCTGTTGCTCTTCTGCCCTCTGGGGAAAGTGACCTGGATGCAGAGACACCTGACGGGGCTCCAGACTCCCCCGCCTCACAGCCCCCTAGGGGTGCACAGGGTGGAGAAGCAGCCGTCCAGCCAGTCAGCCAGCAGCAATGCCAGCTGCCTTAGGCATCCAGGTCAGTTTCCCCACGTGGGTGCAGGAGGGGGGTGCGCGGTTAGGGGAGGGGCGACTCACAGTGCAGGGGTTAGGGGTGCAGGAGGGGTACAGGTGTTGGGGTGGAGAGGGAAAACTGCAGGGGTTAGCGGTTCAGGAGAGTGAAGGGCTTGGGGTGAAGGGTACAAGCACAGTGCAGGGGTTGTGGTGAAGGTGGCACAGTGCAGGAGTTAGGGGCATAGGAGGAGAATGCAGGTGTTGGGGTCAAGGGGGCACGCACAGAGCAGGGGTTGGGGTTACAGGAGGGGGCAGGGTTAGTGGGGAGCCAATGAAGTTTGCCTGGGTGTGATTTTCCTGTGAGCAGCGCGGTGGGTTGATCGCTAGGACCCAGGAGCAGCT